CACACCGGGGCAGGCGCCGGCTCCCCCTTAGTGGGGCTTTCTGTTCAGTAGCTGTTCCTCCCGCCGGGCCCAGGGACTGAACCGGAGACGCCCGAGTAGCTTCCCTTTCCGGGGTTGGCTGAGCCATGTTGCCTCCTGGGGCCTGATCCTGAGAGTCGGGCTCTGCCCCTCACTCCGCTTGCCTGCCGTGGAAGAGGGAGGGCTCAGACCTGGTCCCAGGGGCGGCTGCCTCTGAGCACTTCTGTCCGGAGTGTTCGCCCAGGCAACACTCCAGGGACTTAGTGATGCACACGCTGACGCCGGGGTGGGACGTGGCCCTTGGGCCCTGTTGTCCTGGGCCGTGCTGCTGATTTCAGAAGCCCTTTCAATTTACTTTCAACACTTCTGCAAGCAGCTCCCTGCGCAGGGCAGGCCGGATTCCGAGCGGGTAAATCGGCACCTGCTTGGAGTCGGCAGAGGTGCACTTGTTGTAGGCCAGCCTGGATTCCTACTGACGCGCTGGCCTAATGGGTCGGCCGTGGCACCTCACAGCGAGCCCTGAGCGCCAAAGGTGATTCCCTGTGCGGGTTTCTCTCTTGCTTAGATACCAAGCTTGGCCCCGAAGCTTTTCGCTTTGATTCTGGATCGGAAGCCACGGCCACCAGGCTCAGCGAGCGCTACTACATCCTGCGCCCCGAGGTGGTAGAAAGCTACTTGTACATGTGGAGGCTGACTCACGACCCGAAGTACAGGCAGTGGGGCTGGGAAGTGGTGAAGGTACGACCGTTAACACGCCGCATTCTCCCTGCTCGTGTCGCGCGCGCTACGGCGCAGTGGCACCTAGAGAAACCGAATTTGCTTTTCTCTGCTGAGTGTTGAAACGTTTCTCCCCCTCCCCGGGTTTGGTTTGAAAACCAATGAACCTTGCCGGGTTGGGAGGGGAAAGCGCCTGAGCCGGTGTCGTGGCGAGGAGTGTGCCAGTGTCCGATGCATGCGCTGGGCATGATCTAGACTGAACCCAACGTCACTCCTGCCGGGTTGGCTCAGCCCTGCATCCCCCATGTGTGGCTCTGCAGAACGAGGCTGCAAAAGGCAGGCGCGTCTCTGGGCGACGGGGCGGGAAAGGCGCGGTGGCTGCCTGCTCCAGCACCGCTGTCTCGTGGGAGGTGCGCAGGGGCCGTGTCCCAGAGGCGTTCAGTCATACAGAGCCTTGGCAAGGGCTGTGTAAACCCAGGGTTGCTCCGTGGCACCTGTTGATGTGGGTCAGCACCAACCAACCCACAAGCTTCCAGCGTTGGCCTTTGCCCAGCTGTTCCCCTAGAACGAGCCTCTCTCCCGGACGGCTGAGCAATGACCAGACTTTTCAGGGAGAGAAGCTGCTGTAAAACCTGCATCTGATTTGCAAACCTGACTTGCTGCCGCCGAAACGGGCTGCTCCGCGTAGCCGTGTGCTGAGATTGGTCTGTCTTTCCTCAGGCACTGGAAAAATATTGCCGGGTAGAAGCAGGCTTTTCCGGGATCCGAGATGTGTACACCATCCCCCCAAATCATGACAACATGCAGCAGAGTTTTTTTCTGGCAGAGACATTGAAGTAAGTCTGGTATCATGAGCAAGTGTTCAGACTAAATCTCCTCTCTGGGCACACGCAGGCTTTGTGCTGCGGGTTGTCTTGATGCACAATAAGCTGTAGCTTCATCTTCGAAAGCGTTGGGTTCCCTGCACAGTAACTTGTGGAAGATGGCAGGGTACTGCAGGCGTGTGTCCTTTCTGCAGCACAAGAACAGAAAGAGCTGAACTCGTTTGGGATAGCTTTCAGCAATTTCCTGCATGCTCTGTAAATTTCAGTATGTGCCTTGTATTTAACAGGAGTTTGGGCCAGTTTAGCTCTATGGTAAGGGTGGGCAATCATTTTTCATGGCGGGGGGGGGCACGCCAAGATTTTTGTAAGTGGTCAAGGGCCGCACTTTGGAGGAGGTGGAGTGTCTGGGAGGGAGGCTGGGTGTAGAAGGGAGCTTGGGGTAGAGGACTGGGGTGCCATAGAGGGAGGGGTGGGGTCTGAGGGGAGTTTGGGTGAAGGAGGGGGTTGTGACCTGGGGCAGAGGCTTAGGGTGCAGGTACCTAGGTGGCACCCAGCCAGCAGCCCTGCAGGACCCTGAGGCAAAGTCCCTGGCCATGGCAGGCTCAAAACAGCTGTCTGCTCCCTGTGGCTCTGTGCTCCAGGTGTAGGGGGAGGCTTTGTGCGCTGCCCCACCCACCCAGCAAAATCTCTCAGCTCCTATTGGTCAAATATTTGCCAATGGGATCTAAGAGACTTTGCTGGGGTGGGGGCAGCATTCGAAGCCCCCCCTTGTCCCTGGAGCAGACACACGTGGAGCAGCCGGCGACATGGGGCTGTTTCTGCACCTGAGGGTCCTGGCCGGGCTGCCCACAGGCCGTATCTTGCCCATCCCTGCTCTGTGGAGGTGGACTCTACGCCCTGTACTGCACGGAGGGTCTGGCCTTCCCTGTGCACTCGGAATCCTGTTAGTCTTTCTGTAACCCAGCTTACCGGTTTTCCCTCCCTCCCTGCCCCGTGGCACCAGGTACCTCTACCTCCTCTTCTGTGAGGATGACGTGCTCTCTCTGGAGGACTGGGTGTTCAACACGGAAGCGCACCCGTTGCCGGTGAACCACACGAGTGTTGAAGCAAAAGCAAGTGTGCAATAGTGATGCTGTTTCTCAAGCTTCCTGCTTCGGCGGCAGCAGAGAGCGGGTTTCTGCCTTTCCTTTCCCTTCGAGGAATTAGCAACGTTCCTAAACTGGTATTTGGGGCACTCGTCCATTTCCGGACAGTATTATATTGGGGAGAATAAACTGTGACCTTAGCACCCTCTTTTCCTCTATGAGGAGCTCTATTAGCCTGGCAACAAGCGTTGATTCTGGGCCATATTGTAAACAGATCATGGACATTCCTTTATATACAGAGAATTTATATGAAATCCGCTGACTTTGCTTTCGAGTGGCCAAAGGATTGGAAGTTTGCCATACGATAGACTTTCCCCCGTTCTCCTTTTTATTTTTTTTATTTTTGCCTTTTATATACAGATGGATTTTATCACATTTCTAATTACAGTTTTCGATATACTGTGCTTTCTAAGTGGTGTCAACATTGTAACTAAAACAAAAATTCTTGGCCCAAACGTATTTTTATATATTCTTTCCTGTGCTCTTAAACACATTTACAGAACATTGCATCACATGTAACTTTCCTTTATAATGTTTTATGTTTTTCTACTTTTATTTGGAACTAAATGTTATGAGTCACTTATAATAAATTGCACTGCTGTAATAGTCAAATCTGTGAAATAGAATAAAAGGTCTTGTAAAATAAGTAGCGTGATTGAGTTGATCCTACACTAACAGCTCTCCATCACTCAGAGCCTTGCTGTATTATCCTTGGAATCAAAAGCTGACAAGAACGCTTGATTCTGAGAATAATTTACAATAAATGTTTATTCCAAGAATAATCTAGCAAGTGTATCGTCAAGAATTCCAGCCTGCTCCAGCTCTCTTAAATTGCTTAGTCCTAGTTCAACTGTGAGATAACAAGAACTCAATTAAATGTCTTATTTCCAAGAAAAATCCCCATCCACGCTTCTTCCTCATATTTTATCTCTGGGATGAAGTTACAGGAGACAAAAAGCTGCCCGGTGCTTTGCATTAGACGCGTTCCTCCCTCATACTGTCAAATGCTGATTGGTTTCTTCAGCAGCTGGGGAAAGGAAAAGCAAAATGGGCTTTGAAATCTCTGCCTGTCAAAGTCCCAAAGGGGAAGAAGATTGTCACATGGGACCTAACCGTTATCCCTGGGTTAAAGCTAGAGGAGGATAAGCATGGCCTAGGGGGTGGCTATTGGCAAGTCAGAGTCCTGGGAGTGAGTCATCTCATCGGAGGGCTGTTGACACTGGAAGGTAAGCTTGCCCAGAGAATTTTTACAGTGGATTAAGAAATGTTATGAGTAACCAAAACCGTCTCTGCCTACCAAGATCTTAAAAAGCCGCCTCCCAGCTCTCGTTAACATGGATCCCTGGCATTTCATTCCGCTTGTCTGGCTTGATCATCTTCTGGTTATTTTCCTTTCCCAAAGCACAAACTGGGTTTCATTTCTGCACCACTGTTTAAGTGTCACATGAGAAACAAACGCTACTTCTGAGGTCAGAGAGGCTTCTGGCTAAAAGATTTTTCTCTCCTGAAATCCAACAGCTGGGGCTCGTCTACACTGGCCCCTTTTCCGGAAGGGGCATGCTAATTTTTCAGATCGTAATAGGGAAATCCGCGGGGGATTTAAATATCCCCCGCGGCATTTAAATAAAAATGTCCGCCGCTTTTTTCCGGCTTTTAGAAAAGCCGGAAAAGAGCGTCTACACTGGCCCCGATCCTCCGGAAAAAAGCCCTTTTCCGGAGGATCTCTTATTCCTACTTTTACATGGCACTGTGCACTTGCAGCAATTTAAAGGGCCCAGGGTCTTTGCTGACACATGAGTAATGCTAAGAGCGTGCATGAAGGTGCTAAGTCCTTTGGAGCACAGTCCATTGTTTTGTTCTGTTCTTACAGCACCTAATACAATGAGCTGCCAGTCCACTGGGGTTTCTAGACACTACCACAATGCAGTGATCTTTGCAGGATTGGAGCCTTGGATGTCTCGTGGCTCGTTTTCACAGTACTCTTTGGATCTTTATTCAGGCCGAACTCTTGGCTTCAGTGGTCATTTTGCTCAAGGAAGGGGAATCTTGCCCTTTGGGGTTTCGTGGCCCGTGACTAACATCTCTTTCCACTTGGAGAAGAGAATTAGTTTGTAACGTGTCTGGGTGTGGGATTGTATCCTGTTTGTGTTGATGTAGAAGAGGAACCATTCTGTTTGTATACCTTTAAGCTGGAAGGATTCATGTGAACTGTTTCCAGTTCTAAACAACCAGGGGAAAGTATTGGGGAAGAGGTTACGCCTTTTGTCTTATATAATATAATATAATATAATTAATATATATATATTGTCTTGCCTACGTCACACGCAGGCATGGGGTAAAATAAGACGCATGTGTTTATCACTGAGGGAAGCTAGCTACTGGAATAACTTACTGGGGGGAGGTAGATTCTCTGTCGGAAATTTTCAAATCAAGATTGGATGTTTTAGAAAAAACTTTGATGTTCAGGTTCAAACAGGAATTAATTCAGGGAAGTCCTACGGCTTTTGTTTTGCAGGAGGTCAGATCAGACAATCACCTACAAATTAACCTTAGTATTGAGAAATCAGGGCTTGCCGAATGGCTGTCAATTGTTGCCTGACTTTTTTACATAAACTGCAGAACGAGATAAGACAAAGCTATTAAAAAAACAGATGTCACTTCTTGTCACCCACACTTCATTTTTCAAGAGTTATTGCATTTCCTTGGAAGGCGTACAGCAGAATTGCTTATTGAATTCCAAACCCTGGCAGCCTTTTATTTTTGCCCTGTAATCTGTTCGTTGATTTTTTTCAGGTTTGATAGATTGAGTTTTTGCCTCCACTGTTTTTAAAGCGTCAGATGTTATAGATGGTGGGTATTGGAGCTCTGCATAAATTCACCAGAGAACACTGAAAAATCAGAGACTTGTAGGATTGGAAGAGACCTCAAGAGGCCATCTAGCCTAGTGCCCTGCGCTCATGGCAGGACTGTTATCTAGACAGGTGTTTGTCTAACCTGGTCTTCAAAATCTCCAATGATGGAGATTCCACAACCTCCCCAGCCAATTGATTCCGGTGCCTAAACCACCCTGACAGGAAGTTCTCCCGGATATCCAAACTAAACCATTGTTGCTGCAATTTAAATGCCTCTTGTCCTGTCAGAGCTTTGGTTTTTCTTCCTCCTCCTTGTAACAATATTTCAGGTTCTTGAAAGCTGCTATCGGATCCTGTCTCAGTCTTCATGTTCTCTAGACCTTTCATCATTTTTGTTGCTCTTCTCTGGAATTTCTCCAATTTGTCCAAATCTTTCCTGAAATGTGGTGCCCGGAACTGGACACAAGACTCCAGCTGAGCCCAGTAAGGTGGAAGAATTAGTTTGTGTCCTGTCTACAACACTCCTGTGAATACATCCCAGAATGCTTTTTGCTGCTTTTGCAACAGCGTCACGCTGACTCCTATTTAGCTTGTGATCAGCCATGATCCCCAGATCTCTTCCCACAGGACTCCTTCCTAAGCTGGCATTTCTCATTTTGTTTGTGTGCAACTGATTGTTTCTTCCGGAGTGGAGTCCTTTGAATTGGTCTTCATTGAATTTCTTCCTATTGACTTCAGACCGTTGCATAAACATCTTGCTGAATCGGGGCCTTAATCTTGTTTGTGAATCAACCCCACCTACCCACTGATCATTTGAGTGACGTTTCTCTAGACTCTCTGTGATTGGTTCGGATGGTTCTGGTAACAACAGGCTCAGAACTTGAGCCCAGGATTCCGGAACCAAGAGCCTTCCTTTTCAGTGGCTAATTCATCCCATGTATTATCCTACTGCCTGGGGCAGGCCTGGGCAAAATATGACCCAGGGGCCAGATCCGACCTGCAGACACAGCGGAGAGCCTCAGGCAGACTCCCTACTCCTCCTCCCCCCTCACTGCTTAGTAAAGGTTTCTGCAGCCATTTCTCTTTCTCAACTGTAAGCCTGGGGGAGGAGGGAATGGTGCTTCCAATTTCTGGCCAATGGGAGCTGCCTGTTTGAAAACAGGCAGCATGCAGCACATGGCCCCTGCAGTCTGTGCAGGAGTAGGGCAGGCAGGGCTGCTGACTGGAGTCACCCAGGTAAGTCACCAGGCCAGAGCCTGCCTCTGGCACCCCAGACCTTTCTACCTCCCAACCTTCTGCCCCCTCACTTTTGCCCTCCTACCCCACATAAGCCAAACCCTCTGTCTCCCTCCTGAACCTATACCCCCTCCCAGACCCTGCATCCCAATCCTCTGCCCAAGGTAAGAACCCAAACCTCTGTACCCCAGTCCCCTGCCCCAGGTCACAACCACCTCCTTCACCCAAACTCCCTCCCAGACCTCACACACCCTCCTACACCCCAATCCCTTATCCCAAGCTCTCTTCTGCACCCAACCTGCCTCCCATTAATATCATGGAAGAGTGCAGCCCTTGACCACTTTCCAAGATCTTGGAGTGTCCCCGCCCCGGCCTAGGGAGCAATCGAGACCAATGGTCCATGTGCTAGAGGCTGTACAAAGACTTGTGGATCGTCCCTGCTGTGAAGGGATGGTGGGGGAGGCACTCCAAGAAGAGCTCCCAATCTAAATGCACCTCCCAATCTTGAGACCTGAGATTGCAATGACACTCGGGGGTCTTTGCAGTCAAACTCTAAGAATTATTTTGGGAACGCTCAGTCTATGGCCTGGATACAGGCCTTGGAATCTGTGAATCAGGGCATCCCAAAGGACCTCACTTTCCCAGGCCCGAGGAGCAGCTCAAAAGCTCGTCTTCCTCGTCCGCAGACGCTGGTCCAACATGAGATGTGACCTCACCCACCTTGTCTCCCTCGGATCCCGGCACCCACGAGCCACAACTACCCTGCAGACGAGGTACTTCCTCGTCGAGCTTCCGTTCGACTCCGGGGGAGTTGGGCGCCTAAATACCCTTGTGAATCTGGACTGTTCATATTTTCCAAGTGCTCCCTTGTCTTGGTGGGTGCCAGTTTCCTAAGGCCTTCCAAGATCTCTCTGAATTGCGCGCATCTGATGAAATGGGTCTTGCCCACGAAAGCTCATCCCAGAGACATATTTGGATTAGGCTCGAAGGGGCCACAGGACTACTCATTGTTAAAGTTTCAGACTAACACGGCCCCCCCTCTTTCTTTTTCTTGATGAGACTGAGTCATTTCTAAGTTCACTCTGGCATTTTGAGCTGCACTTAACTGCATCTCCCTCTTCATTTATTGATGTTCCTACCTGACAGAAGTAACCACCCTGCCCCCAATACCCTGTTCGTTCATGTTAGCCCCTTTGGCAGTTAACTTGTGCTGTGTTTTCAATCAACCCTTTACTGCAGCTACCCTTTGTTGCCTCTTGCTTTGCTATTGGTAAGTTCTGGGCGCTCCTGTGGCGTCTGGTGTGCCGTTCTCATTCAGAACGTCCCTGTTGTAGAAGGTTTTATTCTTTCCGTCATTTCCACTCTTGTTTACATCTGTGGGATCTGAATACAACTTCCCCTTGAGTTTTACTTCTATAGGAGGGAATCCAGGCCCCATGTAAGTCTGCGGGAATGTGGCCACGCCAACGTCATCGTCCCTAAAATGCATCTTTTTTTTTTGTCCTGCGGGCTACTGCCTTGGGTGACTGATTTCTTTTTTTTGTCCTGGAATCCCGTA